TTTTTTTTGGTACCTTGGGAACTGTCTGACTTGTCCATTTAGTCCAAGTCTCCAGAAAACACTGCAGCCTTTTGGGCTTATTGCGTTTATTCTCCGCGTCCAGCGCATTCATCAGCTTTATCATTACCTGTGATTCCTGAATGCCCTGGCACCCAGGACAAAGTTAATTTGTTCCTGTTTGCAAGTTCACTCAGTTCTTCATAGAATTCCCAGACACAGCTCCCGTTCCATGTTTGGTGTTCGATCCATCTGTATACCAGGTGTTTTTTCCAAACATGTTTTCGGGATGACTAATGGTCTTCCACTCTTTACGGCTTAATATTTCGGTCGTGAAGTCATGTGGTCCGTGCACATATTCAATATGTGCTCCTCCACTTGTTCCGAAATTTCTGTTCGGTCCAATCTTTTGTAGTTCGGTGAGTTTTCCAGTCTGAATTGGCCCATCCTGGCCTCCCCCATTATCACAAAGTGTAAAGAAGGTAGATTCAGGTGTGTCTCCAATGCACGATAATGTTTTTGACACTCTGTTGCTTAGATAGACAGAGTATAAGTGGACAGTTCTTCATTGAAATGCTCTCCTCACAAAGTGAGAATAATCTACTTAATCTTTCGCGAAATAAATAAATGAATGCTGTTCGTGTATGCAATTGTATAGCAGGTTAGTTTAATCTTCAGAAATCAATTCAATTCAATTAAAAAATGTTTATTCAAGTTTTAGTTAAATTACAATATGTTTGTGGTCGTAGTGTGTTTTGAGAGGGGCCCTGCTACAGGCTTATGCCTCTTCACGAGATTGTGTGTGAGTTGTCTTGTGTTGTTTTGTAATGTGTTCGTCTTGTTTTTCCTTTGTTCCGTTAGAGCGGTCCGGTTTCGTTGCGGTGGTCAGTTTTGACATAGGTCCAGGTTGTTAGGCCGGGGATTGAAGTTGTGCGATTTCAGCTCTTTCCAAGACGCAGCTGTGCGCTATCCAGTAGATCGTGGCTTTGTAATCGAGAACTGGTCTGATAAACGTTTTGTTAGTGTGTAGGAGGGTTTTTCTGTCGCATGTCCCGATCTTGCCTCTCAGTGCTTTCAGTAGATTTGCTCTTTTCCGGACTCTGTCCAGAGTTTCTCTCAGGTCGATTTCCCAGTTGAGGGTCCTCGTGAAGGTGACCCCCAAGTAGGATACCGAGTCTTGGAGTATGAGGTTTTCTCCTAAAAGTCTGAGGTTCAAGTTATCAGGATTTAAATGATGGCGGGTAGTGGTATGGGGATGTCTGAAAAGTATGGTTTGGGTTTTGGTGGGATTTATTTTGATACGCCACTTGTTGCACTAGTGCTCGAAGTGGTCGATCATGGTTTGTGTTTGAATTTGTAAGCTGCGGGTGTTAAGAGCGGAGGAGTAGAGGATAATGTTGTCGGCATACTGGAAGATAAGGAGGGCGCAAGGACTGAGCCCTGGGGAACACCTGATTTGGGTGTTAAGGAAGAGGATAAGTCGTCGCCGACTTTAACGCGGATTTGTCGGTCGGACAGGTACGAAGCTACTAGTCGGATGAAGTGGTGTGGAAGACGAATTTGGATGAGCTTCCAGATCAGGCCCGCGTGCCATACCTTGTCGAAAGTTTTCTGAATATCTAAGAGGATTGCGATAGTGCCGAAAGAAGAGTTGATATTTTGGGAGATGTGAGTATGTAATTCGACTGGTGCATTCTGTGTGGAATGTTCTGCCCTCAAACCATGCTGGTGAGGAGGGATAATGTTGTGTTTGTTGGTCAATAGTCGTTCCAGCAGTTTGCCCAGAAAACTTAGCAGATTGATAGGTCTGTAGGAATCTGGTTTGGTGAGATCTTTGTGAGGTTTAGGAATAGGGATTGTATTTGCCTGTTTCCAGGCGTTTGGACTTGGTTCACCGAGTCGGATCCTGGAGCAGTATTTCTACCATGGTGGATGGATTTGAGTATGTCCTTCTCGCTGAATGGGGATCTTAAGGAGCAGTTGAGGTCAAGGGGGATCTGTTTGGGGTGCCTGTCCAGTTGCGCGGGCATTTGCTGGTGTATGAAGTTTAGAAATTGGTTGTCGAAGTGCACGTCGTTAGGGAGTCAGAAGGTAAGCATGAGGTTTTCGTGGAAGGCTTCTGCTTCCTCGGAAGGTTTGGAAATGATGTTACCGTCAATGACTAGGTGAATATTGGATTTCCGTTTTTCTCCAATAAGAACTTTGAATTTGTTCCATAAAGCCGATTCGTCCCTATAGTCAAGTTTTTTGTCACCTCTATCTACTTTTTCTGTATGCATTGGTTGATGAGGAGACGTATTCGTGCGTTAAGTCTGTTCCACTCAGTTTTTAGTTCGGACGTATGTTCTGTAAAGTTTTCGTTTGTTTTTAATGAGTGTTATAAGAGAAGGTGGAAGTGGGGGTTGGTCGATTCGTCTAGGTGTTGTTGGTGTGGCTATGTCGTCTGAGTCATTGATAAGTTTTTGAAGTTTGTCAATTTGTATATCTATTTTTCTGGGATGATTAAGGGGAGAATTGTCGAGGAAACTGAGTTTCTGATGGCTTCAGGGGTTGACGAGATTTGGAAGTTCAGAGGAGTTTTGACGATAAGGGAAAGGTGATCCAATGTGATCGTGTCCCCGATGTAGGCTAGATCATCGACTACCTCTATCAGGCTCTCGGAGTACAAGATATGTATGATCAAGGATTGAGGCCCCCTTGTGACTCAAAAACGTCGGGTTCTGACAGGGAACTCTGTATAAGTTGTGGTTGAGAAGAAAGTTGGTAAGAAGATGGTCATTGTCATTGGAGTTTGAGTATCCGAATTGCCTATGTCTGGAGTTGAAATCTCCTATTAAGAAGGCTTTGGGGAGAGAATCTGCATATTCTATTGTTTGAGTGGGGTGATTCTAGTAGACTATGATTGTTAGGTTACCGGAATCTCTAGAATCTATCGTTACGATGAGATTTTATTATTTAGTTATGAGGAACTGAATAAACCTTTGGGAATTTGAACAAATACATACATACACAGTATTAACGTACTGCCGAAGTGTACCTGAATACTTGAATTTGTTGATTATTTTACCAATTCTGAGTATACATTCCCTGTTGACAGGCTGATATGGAATGAATTAGATTAGAGAAACGTGCGTCGAGAGGCAGTATTTTGATCTGGTGCGATGAAAGTGTTCTCAATAGATATACTTTTTTATTTCTCTTCTACTTTCAGGTATTAGAGAAAGCTGTGTGATGGATGGACATATTTTCTAATACATATCTCTCTAAACTATACTTTTGGATTCACTATGAAGTCTTTATGAAGATATTTTGGTTGGTTTTCGAGTTTTGCCGTGATCTCCTTTGTTTTTTTTGGTACCTTGGGAACTGTCTGACTTGTCCATTTAGTCCAAGTCTCCAGAAAACACTGCAGCCTCTTGGGCTTATTGCGTTTATTCTCCGCGTCCAGCGCATTCATCAGCTTTATCATTACCTGTGATTCCTGAATGCCCTGGCACCCAGGACAAAGTTGATTTGTTCCTGTTTGCAAGTTCACTCAGTTCTTCATAGCATTCCCAGACAAGTTTTGATGTCACCTTCGGGTTTGTCAGGGCCCCTATACTGAGATATTACAGCTCCCGTTCCATGTTTGGTCTTCGATCCATCTGTATACCAGGTGTTTTTTTCAAACATGTTTTCGGGATGACTAATGGTCTTCCACTGTTTACGGCTTATTATTTCGGTCGTGAAGTTTGTGTTAAAGGTGTACTTCGGTGTCATGTGGTCCGTGCACATATTCAATATGTGTTCCTCCACTTGTTCCAAAATTTCTGTTCGGTCCGATCTTTTGTAGTTCGGTGAGTTTTCCAGTCTGAATTGGCCCATCCTGGCCTCCCCCATTATCACAAAGTGTAAAGAAGGTAGATTCAGGTGTGTCTCCAATGCAGCTGTTGGGGTAGTTCTCATTGCTCCCGTCATTCCCAAACATGCAAGTCTTTGCACCTTGCCTAGTTTGTTGATGGCGGTCGCCTGCTTCATCTTTGGCCACCAGACCAGAGATGCGTATTATATCATGGGTTTAACCACCATCGTGTATAGCCAATATACCATGTCTGATTTTAGCCCTCATGTTTTTCCATAGTTGCGTCTGGCGAGCATCAGTGCTACCTCCACTTTCCTCCTTATCTTGTCCAAGAGTTGGTTCCAGGTCAGTTTGGAATCTAGAATTACTCCCAGATATTTAACCTTCCCCGACACTTGTATTTCTTCACCTCGAAGTTTTAGGGGTCAGAGACCCTCCTTTTTAGTCCTCTTGCTGAATGCTACTATGGTCGATTTGAATGGCCATGCCATGGCATGGATAGACTGCATGCTTTTATTTGATTTAACAATGCTTCCTTGAACTTCCCTTAAAAGGCAAAAACCTTAAAGTTTATTTTCATCAAAACTGATCTTCAAATTAACGGCCAAGTCTCTCAAATCATCCCACATTATCGGTTTTTTCATTGAAAGTGTACTCAGAGTTTTCAAAGTCATACCATTTATTCAGGTAATCCAAACATCTTTGAAAGAAAATGTCTGCTTCCTTGTAAAACGTACCGTTGTCTGTTTCATTTAGTTTTTTGAAAGACCTTTTACTGAACTACCAAAAAAATTATCCTTTTTTCTATTTATAACTTTTTGGCGGATTTCAATCAGAAAGTTACAAAAACACTTTCAAAAACTTCAATAGCAGTGTTCACTGTAGCATAACGGCAGAGAGTTTTTATTGTTATTTTTGCACAAATTGTTATTCCGGGAGAATTTTGTATATTTTGAATTTCTTCCGGGAGTTGGGAGATTTTAATTTTCAGAGCTTAAGTCCGGGAGACTCCCGGAATTCCGGAAGAGGTGGGAACCCACGCCTGAACTCGTGTTATTCATAGCAAGCGGCAGAGAACAGGTACTGCAATAATTGCAAAACAATATCACGATTATAATTATCATTTTATTCGTTCAACAGCAAGAAACAAAAAATATGGACAAACAACAATAAAATCCATTATTCACATCTAGAAATAACATTTAAAGAATAAAATAACAGCTCGACAAATGACCATATTCACGTTAAATTGGTTTTACATATTTCTGGCGTTCCACTATTCGGCAACGCTGATATTTCACATATGATATTAAAAAAAAAACATGTAATTACTGTAATTGTGATTTGTAATCACACTTTGAAATTCAGCATGTTTGAGAATATGATTCAGTGTTTTGGTATATAACTAAAAACAGTGAAAGCACTGATTTGTCATTGTTGCGTATTTTTTTATAATAACAATACAACGAATTCCATAAACTTTTTTATCATAGGATGAATAATATATGACCAAAACACTGAATAGTTTCAATAGAGGCGAAAAAATTCAGTTTTTAATTATAATCACAATAATTATATGTTTCATTCTAAGTGTCACATGTCAAATCAGTGTTGCCAATTATGAAATTGTTAGAAACATGTGCATATTACGTGAATATGATCAAGTTTTTCAATGTAAAGATTAAATATTGAAACTCCCTGAATTTCACTGACATAAATCTAAAAAATAGTTTTGGAACTCCAGATATGTAAATTCAGTTCCTTTTTCAAAAACTGAATGAGTGTTTGCTTCATTTGATATCTAGCTTCTGCAGTATGAGAAAGTACTCTCAGGCCACTTTCTGCATCTATCAAGGCGATATCCTCGAAGAAGTGTTCGACCGATGTGACCAACATATGCTTCTGCTGGTCCGTCAAATCATATTTAATTATATCTGCCGCGTTTTTGGAAGATGATCCCATGGGCATTGCTCCAGCTAAGGCTGCACCTGGAAAAAATAGGTTTTTTAAGAAAAACGGCGACCAAAAATTAGCAAAAAAGGGATTATTTAGGCGATATGTACATACTCTAATCAAAAACATGAAAAATTGAGATAAAGGTCCTAAAAATATGAGTGATAGCTCACTCGATTCGGAATCACCTCTAGAAAAATGTTTTTGAAAGATTTTGGTGCAGGTAGAAAATTGCAGTTGTTTTTAAATCTTATTTTGTTAATAACAATTGCAATTTTCAACTTGCACCAAAATCCTTCAGAAACATTTTTCTAGAGGTGATTCCGAATCGAATGAGCTATCGTTCATATTTTTAGGACCTTTATATCTATTTTTCATGTTTTTGAACTCGTTGATCAGATTAACATTTTTAAAATGTATACTCTAGATTTCACAAACCCCCTCGAAAAAATCCGATGGCGCCATATCAACAACTAGCAAGCTTATAGTTAGCAAATAACTACTAATGACTTCTTCAATAGAAATATATTCACGAAGTTTTGACAAATCGATATACAACCTTACAAAAATTGTTTTTGATATTCTGTTTCTTCTAAAAACTTAAAACTGGGTGCTAATGACTTTGATGATGTGATACCATAGGCTATTCTGAAGAAGCCCCGCTAGCTCTAGTACAAGAGTGCCACCAAGATTTAGCCAAAGCCTCGGTAGATAATAACATTCTCCTGAGGTGGGTTAAAGGGTACGACAGAAGTAAAGGTAATCGCATTGCCGACTCTTTAGGCAAGGAAGCGGCTGGACTAAGAATTTTAGGACCCAGTGGCACCTACGGCCTGATGACTTCGACAATTGCAGAACTAGTCAAATGTTACACCCATGCTCAATCCTTACAGAGGTGGGATGGAATCAAAGGATGTAATCTTGCCAGGAACACCTTGGGAAGCTGGCACCGAACAAATATCTGGTGATGACCAGGAAAAATCTACGCTTAACAGTAGGATTCCTGACTAGCCACTGTCAACTAAGGAAACATCTCCATAATATTAGGCTAGTGGACACACCTCTATGTAGGATGTGTGAACAGGAAGTTGAGACTGTCAGGCATGTCATATGTGAGTGCCCGGAGTTATCGTCAATAAGAGAGTGTGTGTTCGGCGAGTCTTGGCCTACACCTGCCGATATAATGGAGATGTCTCCCAGTGACCTGTCCACAATGGGTCACATGTGGCCTAAGTGCCGTGGGCTTACACTCATCCTCCCTACTCTACAGATACAGATACAGCCCCACTACTTATTCAGCTTCAACAACTAGCAAGCTTATAGTTAGCAAATAACTACTAATGACTTCTTCAATAGAAATATATTCACGAAGTTTTGACAAATCGATATACAACCTCACAAAAATTGTTTTTGATATTTTGTTTCTTCTAAAAACTTTAAACTGGGTGCTATTGACTGTGATGATGTGATACCACAGGCTATTCTTAAGAAGCCCCACTACCTCTAGTACAAGAGTGTCACCAAGATTTAGCCAAAGCCTCGGTAGATAATAACATTCTCTTGAGCTGGGTTAAAGGGCACGACAGAAGTAAAGTTAATCGCATTGCCGACTCTTTAGGCAAGGAAGCGGCTGGACTAAGAATTTTAGGACGCAGTGGCACCTACAGCTGATGACTTTTACAATTGCGGAACTAACCAAATGTTACACACATGCTTAATCCTTAAAGAGATGGGATGGAATCAAAGGATGCCCTCTTGCCAGGATCACCTTGGGAACAAATATCTGGCGATGACCAGGAAAAATCTACACTTAACAGTAGGATTCCTGACTAGTCACTGTCAACTAAGGAAACACCTCCATAATATTAGGCTAGTGGACACACCTCTATGCAGGATGTGTGAACAGGAAGATGAGACTGTCAGGCATGTCCTATGCGAGTGCCCGGAGTTATCGTCAATAAGAGTTCGTGTGTTCGGCGAGTCTTGGCCTACACCTGCCGATATAAGGGAGATGTCTCCCAGTGAGATGGTAATGAGAGTATTGACCCTTTCGTAGTAGTCCGATTTATCCAGAATTACTACTTTGTTATCTTTGTCGGTTTGTCGGCTTTGTCATTACCAACGGACCGTATGCGAAATTGTCCATGAACCCGTTACCAAAGATGATTGCAGAAGTAAAAGACGTTCTAAAGAAATGCGACAACATACTTTCCCCTCAACTGAAACGGAACCAGGTTTTAGTATAAAAAACTCTTTAGAGTTCATACAACATACAAAAACATGGTTCTGCAAGAAGGTGAGATTTTGGTTTCTTTTGATGTTAGTTCATTATTTCCTAGCGTCCCAATTCCACAGACCTTGCAATACCTCAGGGAACTACTAGAGAAAAATAATTTCAATAACAACGAAATCGATAAATTCGTTTCTCTCACCAATTTGTGTAAGAAACAAAATCGTTTCCAGGTAGAAGGTTGCTTTTATGAACAACAGGAAGGAACGGCCATAGGAAATCCCCTGTCTCCCACAGATAAAATTGNCGTGTCGATTGTGCAAACAAAAATGTCATCGAGTACATCTTGCAGAGACTTGCGAAACCATGACCTTTTTGCTACACCGTTTAGAAAAACCAATTCGGGCAAAACTATGCTTTATGCAGAATTGTCATATCCTTCAATACTTATTGCGATGACATTGAAAAACTGATGCTACCTTTCCTTAGATTTGAAAATCTTTATTTATGATTAGTTATAGGTTCTTCGTATATCGTTTATTTAATTTTTTCTCATATCCGTTTATACTGTAATAAACTTAGCGTTTATATATTGTTCACTTACTATAAATAAATATGGTTGAGAACCAGAGCCCAAACAACGCATTTATGATTCAACACCCGATAACGCTGTTTCGACCCGCCGTAGGTCTCATCAGTGATATCTTGATGGCATCTTCGTGAGAAGAAATGTCACGCCCTTCCATACTTCGGAAAGAAAGGTGTTGTCTATCTACTTTTCCATCTTTATACCAGAAATGTAGGAATCTTCCCAAGGAGAAAATGAAGCAATTGTGTTCAAAAAATCAACTGTATACTTGATTTAATAAACGAATGAATGTCATTACGTACTGTCATTGATAATATGAGTAGATTAAACACATTCCTGATATAAAGTCGCAATTTTATGAGTTAAACGATTATTTAATCTTATCCAGATTTGGCGCTGAAGAGACAATATGGCAAGTGTCTTATGCCGAAACATCGGATGTCCACCAGTGAAAATGACAGTGTTCCATATAAGTGAAGTTTCACCTGTTTCATTTAGAATTTGGTGTAGGAATCCTTTGAATGATATCTGATTCAATTCCTTAACGAATGTTTGGAATTCAAACTGAATAGAGGAAAGTGTTTTTCGTTTAATTCAGTGATCATATAAAACATTTGTTTTGAAAGTATGTAATTCAATGTTTATGTTTTTTTACAGTTTGTGTCTGAAAGATGCTTCTTTGCATGATCTACATACACATCTTTGTATAAAGTTGATTTTTTGAAACTGATTGCTTCTTTCCTGTCTTTGAAAGATTCCCACATTTTTTTGTATGAAGATCGAGAAGTAGAAAGCTAAAACTTTTCCCTCCCAATGATTCCATTGTACAGTGTCATACCCAAAGTATGCACCATATGGGAAACTTCTTTATTAAGAGTTTTCCGACAAAAAGTTATTCTTGATAAAAGTTTGTGCATCCCCTAAAACTAAACATACATCAACAAAATACAGTGAAACACACATAATATACGAGGGGCCTTGAAATATTTGATTGTGAGACAAGAGTAAAGTACTCTTATTTTGGAAAATCATTTAGAGAAGTTGTGAAGTTGAAAAAAAACTAAGTGTANCACGAAACATTGTCAACCACCTTCAAACAGGATGCTGTCTATTTATTAGATAGCCATGCCTTCAAATCTAGATGTATTTTTCAATGCTGAACAACTTTCTTGAATAACATTTTCCTAAATTTTTCAAAATAAGAGTACTTTACTCTTGTCTCAAAATCAAATATTTTATAGCTCCTCGTATATTACGTGTGTTTTACTGTATTTTGTTGGTGCATGTTTAGTTTCAGGGGATGCACAAACTTTCATCAAGAATAACATTTTGTCGAAAAACCTTTAATAAATAAATTTCCTATATGGTGCATACTTTGGGGATGACACTGTATTTGACTTCATTTCAAATATATCTCAATACCGTTTGTTGCCATCATTGAATTCACAGGTCCCTTCAAACATTGTTTGTTCTAATTAACCATGATGAATATCTGGTTACTGGTTACAGGTTTACTGGAAAACTTGAAAGATAGTGGAAAAAGTCATTCATCTATTCGATATGAATGAAAATTAACATGCAAGCGAGCTCATGCATTAAGGTTATGTGGTGAAAACATTTCAATCACTACATAACCATACATAAAACTCACCCGAAAATAATCCAAATCTTCCCCCCATAATACCTGCTACTTGTGATGGTTCCCTCATAGACACCCTCAGTTCAGCTTTCCTGGCCAATAGTACACATACATTCAAAATAATTTGCTCCCTCGATTCCATTTTTCAGTATCAATTTTCAACTTTATAGTTTTCGTTTCTTTTGGCCAACTGAAGAAATGGACTAGTATTCATCACGTGTCCGCAAGAAAAAAAACAACAGTGGCAATGGGAATAGAAGCGCTTATCAGTAAATTGCTATTTTGTACTGGTATATGTACTCCACTCGTACAGGGTGGAACAAAAGTGTGTCGCCAAACTCTAAAGAAACCGTGGAATGCAAATTTTTAAAAGACAAAACACAAGCACTACAGGAAAATCCTTAAGGCGCTCAAAGAGCGGTGCCTGTGCGAAAGTAGATAGGATTTGTATCGCTGGAGATTGAATCCATTTGGAAAAACCTTCTCAGGAACTTTATACCACATAAATGGAATCGAATGTGTCACTCGAACACATCCGTGAAAATATCTATAAAAGAAAGACAAATCTCCAACCTTTCTTTGATGTTCCAGACTGTCAAAGGTGTAAGAGATGTTCGTGTCTCCAATCAAGCGGATGGGTCTTTTCTGGATGGAATCCAGCAGCTTCAGGGTATGCTTAGCAGCGGAACTTCATACACGAGAACAATACTCCAAAAAAGATCTGATTTGAGCTTTATGTGTGTGTGGTTTAAATTTTTTGGCTTTGGGAGACCCAATTATTTAGACTGTTTTAATAAAAAATCTATTTGAAAGTAATACTGAGTAGTATCTGTATCTGTAGAGTAGAGAGGGTGAGTGTAAGCCCACGCACTTAGGCCACATGTGACGCATTGTACATCCTCCCGAGGAGTTGTCCTCCTAGGTCATCGTGTCCATCCTGCCCTTTCCAGGAAGGTGGACAGATCGCTGGGAGACATCTCCTTTATAACGACAGGTGTAGGCCAAGACTCGCCGAACACACACTCTCTTATTGACGATAACTCCGGGCACTCGCACAGGACATGCCTGACAGTCTCATCTTCCTGTTCACACATCCTGCATAGAGGTGTGTCCACTAGCCCCATATTATGTAGGTGTTTCCTTAGCTGACAGTGGCCAGTCAGAAATCCTACTGTAAGGCGTAGATTTTTCCTGGTCATCGCCAGATATTTCTTCGGCGCCAGCTTCCCAGGGTCGCCCAAGGTGATCCTGGCAAGATTACATCCTTTGATTTCATCCCATCTCTTTA